CTTCGCGGCTGTCGTCATCGAAGCCATCTAGAATGCTGCAGTGGCTGCATCGATACGGTTCGACTACGATACTCGTGTAGTCATATGTATCGATTTGAGTAGAGATAAGCTAATAGAATGCGTTAAGCTACGTGGGCAAAATGTAACAAATGGGGCCGGTTCCCCTGTTTTCATTGGTCTGCTTCTTCATAGATTCTCAAGAATACTAGTAGTTGAGCTGAGTTCGCGGTCCTTTGCAAATTTCTTTGAAACCCTCTTCGAGCTCCGAAATCGTCTTCTTGTTCTCGAACCAAGCAGCCATCACTTTATCGAAAAAAGTACTAGCCCTGCAAAATGCAGAGCCAAGTGCATGAAGTGTTTCCACGTCATTCCTGATGCGTTGCACTGTGGCATCCACAGTTGCCTTTTCATTCCGCAAGATGGTGAGTTGACCACGGGCAATTGTGGCATTACATTCCCGGATTATTGCTTGGTGATCTCCATCAATGGCAGCAAGGTCACCCATTCGTCCATGCCGCATGATCTCTAAGCGGGTCTTCCATTGACTGAGGAAATCCGCCCGGGCCGGGTCTGCAGTCTGCAGCATCGTCGTTAGCTTCAATGTCAGTTTGCACAGCGGCGATCTGTGTCTGCAGACCCGCAACAATCTGTTCAGCAGCAGTAATCTTGGGACCAAAAAATAGGGCTGCACTTGCCTTCTTGGCGGTGGCTTAGGCGCTTGGTCAACGACTTGGTCAATTGCGCCTTGATCTACCGGTACCAGTACTGATACGACTGTACTATACCGGTACTCCAAAAGCCGCAAAACGGCGAGCATCTAGCTCTGCTGGTTCATACAGTATCTTCCTGGGGTCGCATCCCCCACACCGCAGCAAGATGAGCTCTGCTCGCCAACCAACCCAAGCACCCAAGCACCAGCCACAGACTAGCTAGCTAGAGATGAGCTTTCAATACAGTACGACCACCATGGCGGCGACCAAGCCCACATTCATCGCAGCCAAAACACAAGTGGAGACCTGACGGAGTGGCATTCGATTACTCTAGCTAGTAGCGCGTTGCTTGCCAAGAGGACACAGGTATTGGAAGCGGCCTACAGTACGACAAATGGACCAATGGGCGTCCAAAGCAGCTTTGGATCAACCACCAGTAGCGGCGTCTATCAATGCTATCAACAACAACAAAACACTTTTTCCAATCGACTGACTTCTTTGGTTGACGGAGCCCCTTTCGCAGAGCCATAAGCCTTGTGGATGCCTCCTTCCTCGCCTCTACTGGGCAGCTCCTCACTCCTAGAATCTTCCAATCAATCCACCCACTCTAGCTATAGCACTCAACGGTGTCTTTTCCTACCTGACCATGGCACTCAGAGTGACAGCAAGTCCCAATTTTGCGAGCTTCTTGGAGAATGAAGACTGGCAAAGCCCTGGACACCACGGCGGGATTGCCACGAAACAACAATGCGAATCTTCTAGCTCTGTTCTTCCGGGTGCGTGGAAGTGTACGTCCATTTTTGAGCCGCCACCGTCAACTTGACTGCAAAGCAATGCCAAGCAAACCGCAGCAAAATAATATGATACGTCAAACACTGCGTCTGGCCAAACAAATGCCATCAAATGGCCTGTGTAGCGGCCACCGGGAACATACAACAACACATCTTGCCATTTGCAAATCTTACGTTGCAGACACAACAGAGACCATGATTGAGGCAACACTGCAATACAAGAAAAACTGCAACACACAAGTTAGATTCGATTCGTGCGATTGATGACTGCTTCCATGGAGCAACCATGGAACTTCTTCCTTCTCCAAGGAGGGACTATGGCGCCTCTACTTGCGAAACCGGCAGCAGCGACAATCCACGCTGACGCAGCAACTATCCGGTTCGGGTTGGAGGGTTGGCCATTCCAAGGGCGCGAAGACTTGCACGGATCGACCATGGCGTCTCAGCTTTCCGTTTGGCGAATGCAACGATGCTACCACGGGCCCAACAAGCTCATGATCGGAGGCCCATTTCGCGAATACCTCCCAAACCATGACGGCCCCCCAAGCATCATCTGATGAGCCTGGTTGCTCTGATCCAGCAAGACGCAGCTTTACGAGGGTTTACGAAACCTCTTGTCTTTGGAGAAAGACTAGCAAAGACCCCTGGACGGGACGAGCCACGAAATAAAGGTGATGTCTTCCACTCTTTGTTCTTTTAGCATGCAACCACAAGAAGGAAAATGGACAAAACACAATAGCTATCCTTGGATCTCTCGAGAGTGCACGAGTGCTGCACACTCTTCCCAGGTCGAGCAGGCTTTCTCAGCTTTCTCAGCTTGCTCATTAATGGATTGTAATGCAATACTCTGACTCCACTTCTTCTTCTTCTTCGTATGGGTGAGCTTAGATATGAATTTGAATAGATGAGAATTGGGATCCAACGAGTCTTGCTCCTTGCCAATGTCCTCATCGGCCAACCCTTGAAGAACGAGAAGCTCGACAGGAACAGAGCGCCATAAAAACACGGCTCAAAAAGCTGAAGGGGAAATTCAAGGCCAATCTCAGCACAGAACATGATCCCGACATAAACAACAATCACCAAGATTTCTTCGATGGTTTGGATGCGTCGTACTTTGGCAAGGAGCAAGAGTCCTTGGATCCCAATTCTGATCTATTCAAATTCATCTCCAAGTTCACCCATCAGCAGAAGAAGGCGTGGTGTGGTCTTGCCGAGAAACGTAACCAGTTCTTTGAAGCGCAACAGAGGGTGAAGCAGTTTCGCCGTGGTCAGAATCTCGAAGTGGCGCGTGTTGACAACAAATCAAACCAAATGCCGGTTGGTGGTCAGAATCTCCCAAATCAACTCAAGACGAAAATCAAAATGCAAGGAAGGCCTCAAAAGAACAAACCAAGATGCCAGAAGCTCCTAAGAAGCTGGAAAGTAAAAGCTGTGCGTTCACCAAGCTCAAGAAAGCATTTGCAGGGCATCTCACCACCGATGATGATCAAGACATTGGCACCAATCCCCAAAAGTTCTACCTTGAATTGTCTGATGCTGAACTACGATCGGAATATTGTGAGATTAGACTTAAAACTAGCGTTAAAGCGCCACGTCATAGACGTGCGTATGTCACTCTCCTCCACTGTGAGGCAACAATAGGCGCCGAGCATCAGTAACATTTAGAAAATGAATCAGGGGAACCTCAATAACCCGTACCGGTGGCAACCGGAGGTACTGGATGCTTTGGAAACACGCGCCGAATGTTCAGGCGCTCAAACTGATGAGCACTGAGTTGAATCGTTACGTTGCCGTTGGTATGAACGCGGGAAACACGATAGGGACCAGAAGCCGTAGGCTTCAACTTATCACTGAGACCGAGATACGCACGCTTGTAGACCAGGTCATCGACCGCGTAGTCATAGGAAATGCGTTTAGCATTGGCCCGTAGCAAACGTTTGTCAACCAAGGATTGACGGTGTCGTTGCACGGCCAAGATGTCTGCATAAATAGGAATGTCAAGAAACATATCTCGTTTGAAGGCAAGAGCACCAGGAGTGAGATACGCGTTCGTACTCTGCACGGAACAACGATGAGCATGCATCGCTGTCGCCAAGGTTTCGGAGATAACCTTGATCCCATCAGCAACACTCTTGGGATCGCGCGAAACCACAATAGTACGCAATACTTGACCAATTGCCTGATGAGTTCGTTCAATCATCGAGTTACCTTGTGGATTACGAGGGGTCGAGTAGCGATGCACAGCACCATTCTTTTTAACCATCTCAATGAACTCCAGTTTGAACTCAGGACCATTGTCCGTGACCACTTTCTTAGGTCGGGGATACCGAGCAAACCATGTATCTTCGACCACTCGAGCACCTTCTTCCGACGTTCGTCGCATAATAGGCACAATCTCTAACAAGTTTGTGCAAGGATCCACCATAGTCATAGCATTGAAAGTCAATGTCCGTTGTCGTAACTCAATCGTCCACGGACCGATTGTGTCACAATGGACTTCTTGCCAGGGCATCGCCGTAGCATCACGTGGAGCAGATTCTCCATAAGCACGTCGTGCTCGCTTGTTCTTTGCACATGCTTCGCACTGCTCAATTTGTTTTCGGACTTCGTCGCGAATACCTCTGTGGTAGAAGTGTGTCTTGATCGTTTGTTCTAAACGATCCATGCCTTCGACATGTGCCATGGATTTGTGATAGAAGCTGACCAACTTGGGAAGCAACTCTTTTGTTAGGACAATCTTGTCCTCGTCATTCTGACGAAAGCATATCAGCTCACTGTTTCCAAACATCTTTTTGAAAAACCGTTCCGGGTTGTCAACCACGGTCTGTTGCAAAACTGCACTGTTCGCTTGGTACTCGGCGAGAACCGAGAAATTGAAAGGATTCCTTCCTTCGCCGTCGAATGTAGGATGCTCCAGGAAAGATTCTTCCATACCATCGTCTGGATGATGCATCAAACATTCAGCCAACCTCTGATTCTCCTCCACAATGGAATAGCAGCCATCGGTAGATGTGGAGAGGGGATCGGAATCGGCAGTGTCACGATCTTCGCGAGAAGTGGGCACCCGGCTGAGGGCGTCGCCAAGGACGTTCTGGGGGCCCGGCTTGTAATGGAAGTTGGGTCCAAACTCTTCCAATAGCAATCGCCATCGCATAACACGCTGAGTTTGAAAAGCGGAAAGTTTGTGAGTAAGGTTCTTATGATCAGTAAACACATTGATACGAGCTCCGAGTAACATAGACCGAAACTCTTTGAAAATTTCAACGATGGAGAGCAGTTCCTTTTCAATTGTAGTATAGTTCTTTTGGGCGGAGTTGAGTTTGCGGGAGTAGTAAGCCACAATCCGTCCATTTTGTTTGATAGCTCCACCGAGCTGGTAATCACTAGCGTCCGTATCGATCTCGAAAGGAACGTTGTGATCCGGATATGCCAGCAGAGTGTCTGCTGCCGCCACAGCTTTCATGGCTTTGAAAGCTTGTTCTTGTTCGTCGGTCCACTCAAACTTCTTGGTACCAATCAGCTTTGTCAAAGGTGCCAAAGTGTGAGAACGACGAGGCCACATATCGCGGTAATAGGTTACCAAACCAAGGAACGAACGCAGTTGTTTGATATCCGTGGGAGCCTTCATGTCCAGGATTGCGCGCACTTTCTTCGCCATAGGCTTAACCCCGACAGGAGTCAACCAATGTCCCAGAAAATCGGTTTCTTGCACGGCCCATTCACATTTCAACGGATTGATTGTGAATCCAGCTTCTTGTAGAATCTTGAGGACTTGATCGAGCTTGTCGAGATGAGAACGCCAATCGGAGCTGAAGATCCCAATGTCATCGATGTAAACTTCGATGTCGTCAAGAGCTTTGAGTAACTTTTCCATGATTTCTTGAGCGATATCCGGAGATTGAGAAACGCCCATAGGTAGTCGTCTGTACTTGTACAACCCAAACGGGGTAGCAATGGTACACAATTCGGAACTGAAATCGTCAAGTTCAAACGTGTAATACTGCATCGAGATATCCAATTTGGTAAGGAATGCATAGTTCTTGCGTCGAGCTAAGATGTCCGCAATGCGAGGAATTGGGTAAACC